GATCCGCCTGCCTCTGCCTCCCCAGTGCTGGGATTAAAGGCGTGCACCACCAACACCCATCTAAGGGAGGATTTTTGTTTAGTTTAGTTTTTGTTTTTGTTTTGCTAAGAAAACATTAAAGTCAAGGCCTGGAGGGAGGGAAGAAGGAATGAAACAGGGGCACTTACCCAGGTGAAGCAAATGCCCAGAAGGCCCTTTCTAGATACTTATACAGTAGAGTATGAACATAGAGATGTTAGAAAAGCTCTTCATTTGTTCATTCTCTGTGTAATAAGTGGGATTTGGAGATAGAATCCTACAGCTCCTGATCTAACCTTTAGTATTAAACAATAAGAACCAAGACAGAAAAAAGTAGAATAAAATATTACTCATGTTTTCTTGATTTTTGTCCTCCTTTCTGAACAAAAAAGTCAGAAAGAAAAAAAATGTTGTACCTAAAATAACACTGTTTGGTCATGAAATTTTCTTTTTCAGACAGGGTCTAGCAATGTAGTTCAGGGAGGGTCTTCCTTCCTCAGTCTCCTGAGTGTTAGGATAGCAGGTTTGCACCACCATTCCTAAAATGTGTACGTTTTAAAATTTGCCATTTATAAGTTATTTGCTTAGTTGAAAAAATATGTAAATGTAGTCTAGGGAAATGCACTTTGCTTCATTCTGTGGACTGTCACCTGGCTAGAAATTGTGTCGTGTGTGCTATCTTTTTTATTTTATTTTTAAAATTGTTGACAACTAAATAAAATCATTTCAAAATGTTCTAAAGGACAAACAAAACACTCCTGAAGGTAGGATATAGTCAGCAATTCAACAAGTTTTTGTTTTCTATAGTATAATACACTAGTTCTTATTGTTTCCCTCAAGGGGTCATACAGATCTAATTGTAACGAGCTGCACAATTTCTGGAGGTGAATTGTTTTAGCTTCCCACCCCATGTAACATTGAATGTCTGTTCTTGTTGCAGGATATGGCCAGACAGGGCCTATGTCTCAGAGAGCAGGTTATGATGCTATTGCCTCTGCTATGTCTGGTCTGATGCACATTACAGGGCCCGAGGTAGGTATTCCTAGAATATTCTTCTTTATTTCTCTTACATATGCCAGAAATAAATTATTCTTCATTAAATTAAATTTGAATGAATTTTGGAAAGAAACGGAGGAAAGTGAATGACTTATTAAAATACAACATAAGTGTGGTCATTATAAATGGACTGAAGCTTAAATGTCAACTCAATTTCATGGAAAAGAGCAAGCTTTTTATTAATATCATGTGATGAACCCCTTTTTCATATCTTTTCACATTATTCAAGCATAACCACCTATGTGTGACTTTAGAAGTGTTTTCACCACAACAGAAAATTGCTGAGTAGATGATAGATACCCATTTTTGCCAGAGTACCTGCATTTAGTAAATATGCATAGGAGATGCTGTTTTTTTCATCTAGAATATTTTAAGTAGTCATGTATTTGAAAATTTTTACTTAAAGTGACTGAAATAGTTGTATCTGACCTGCCATATGTATTACAGACTGAATTATTTCAATTGATGGTGTGTTTCATGTTGTTGTATCTGCCCTGCCATATGTATTACAGACTGAATTATTTCAATTGATGGTGTGTTTCAGGTTTTCTAAAAGAATATAGGTGTCCAAATGTGTTTAGTTAGATCAGAGCAAAGACTTTTTGGGGAAAATGGCATGAACATTATTAACATAAAACAAAAGCATAGTATGAAAGTCTAGTAGATAAAACTAAAAGGCATCAATTTCAAAACAAATTGGGTCGGTAGGCTTAAAGAACTTTTACAGCAGGTATCCTTCCCCTGAGTTACTTTCTTTAGTTAACTCTAGGCAGATCACTGCACGGCTAGGATAAACTGAAGAAGAGTGACCTCTTTTAAAATCTTACATTTCATTTAAAGCAACTGTGAGGTTTTAATGTCTTAAGATACAAAGCCCTTTGTACTTCTATCATCTGATGTTTCATTTTTAGTCATAGAAAAAAATGTATGTAGCCCTTCCTTAAAATAATGCAGGGACGATTTTCTTTTTGTTAATTGATTGAACAGAATATGGGCATTATCTCTCTTCATTCAATCTCTAGGTTCTCATTTGGTAAAGATTTCATTATTGTTAGTACTTTTATTTAAAAGCACTGAACTCAGTTGGGAATATGTGAAAACATTTGGGACCTGTCAGTTCTTACTCAAGTGCTAAACAGAATGAAAAAACTACTAAGGTGAAGGACTTCGATTGGTGAATTGCACTACATTCTGATAGGGTAGCCACATAGTGTACGCTCAACCTTATGACTTTTAAAATTTATCTTCTAGTTAGATTACAAAGCAACAAATTTCATTTTCATAAGAATTGTATTCTTGTTAATTTTCCTCACCTGCTCTTTTCCCTCCTTCCCACTTTACCACAGTACCCCCCTCCTACACACACACACACACACACACACACACACACACACACATATATTCTTATTTGTACTTTCAATTCTCGCTCCCTCTCCTTTTGTATTGACCACCTTCCCATTTCCCCAACTAATATCTCATTTCCCCTTTCATATCAGCACCATCCTGCTGTTCCCTTCTCTAATGCAGTTCCCACCATGGTGCTTTTTAACTTTCCTGGTTTCTGTATACTCATATCTGATGATTTGGAGCAAGGAACCATATATATAAGAGAGAACATGTGGTATTTGTCTTTCTTATCTGTGTTGCCTCTGTCAATGTAATATTTCCCAACTTCCATCCATTTACTTACAAATTTCATTTTTCCTCACAGCTGAATAATAGTTCATCGTGTATGTGTACCACATTTTCCTTACTCATTTATCAGTTGAAGAACATTTGGACTGTTTTCGTTTCCTAGCTATTGTGATCAGAGCAATGATGAACATGGCTGAGTCCTGTGAACATATGCCAAGGAGTGGTATAGTATGGCAGATTTAGATTTTAGCTTTTTGAGGAATCTTTGTATTAATTTCCAGAGTGACTGTGCCAGTTTGCAATTCTACCAACAGTGAATGAGTGTTCCCCTTCCCCCACATCGTCCTTAGTGTTTGCTGCTGGTTGTTTTCCTGATCTTTGCCATTCTGACTGTGATAAGATAAAAATCTCAAATTTGTTTTGGTTTGCATTTCTTTACTTGCTAAGGATGCTGAACACCTTTTGAGATATTTCTGAGACATTTATTTATATTATTCTTTTGAGAACTTTGCATTCAGATTTGAATGGGTCTTTTTAAAAAAGCTTTTCTTAGTTCTTTATAATACTCTCAATATTAATCTTCTGTCCAATGTATAGCTGGCAAAGACTCTTTCCTACTCTCCGAGCTTCCTCTTCACTTGTTTCCTCAGCTCTGAAGAAACTTTTTAGTTTCATGAGACCCTACATGTCAATTGTTGTTCGTAATTTTTCATAAATGAAGTACTACTCAGAAAGATCAGAAGAACATTTTAAGAACTAAAATATAATTATATAATTTTCCCCTATTCACTTTACTCTCTTGAACTTCTCCCAAGTACCTTCCCTATAGCACCTCCCACCCCCTTACTACTTCTGAAATTTATGTCATCGTTTTCTTTATTTTTTATGAATATATAATTGCTTTATATATAACATATTTCATAAACTACATAAACATAACCTTTTGAATATGTTAAGTGTTGTTTGTATAGATGTGATTTAAAGGCTTACCACTTGGTATTGGATAACTAATTAGGAGGTTCATCACTGAGGAAGACTTATTCTTCCTCCCTCAGCAGTCATTAGTTGTCTGTAGTTTTTTTTTTTTTGATTGTGTGTGTGTGTGTGTGTGTGTGTGTGTGTGTGTGTGTGTGTAGGGATTTGGACCTGTGAAATTTCCCCCTTTTCTGTTAGCATGCTTATTGGTGTTACCATTTTTCTGGTCTGGTTTAGGCAGTTATATTTTTGCAGTATAATTTCACCTGCTGCAAAGAGAAACTTCTTTGATGGGGGATTTGATAATTTTCTCTGGGTAGTAAGAATATATATTTAGAAAGCAGTTAACAAGTATGCTGGTCTAATAAAGTGATTATTGTTATGTTCCCCTCTTAGATCCATGGCCTCACTAAGTATGGACAGTTGTCTTGGTTCTAGTACCAAGCATGATTTCCTTTACTTTGAGTGAGCCTTAAGTATAATTAGAGAGCTGTTGTTTACTACCAAAATATGGGTGCCAATTTTAAACCTTTACAAGTATCTTGCTGTGCTGGTAATTTGGGTTTATAGGCATCCTAGCTGGGTAGGTCTTTTGGTTGGTTCCTTCCCTTAGCAGCTTGAATATCAGCTTCTAGTACTATGAAAGCAAGTCCCCAGGGAGAAGGTTGTCAAACTTAGCTCTATTCTGAGTCTTGTGTTTAAGTGCATTGTATCTTTAGTGAGAGGGACTTACTTTCAACCTGTGGGGGCAAATAATTATAACCTATGTGGGCTTTTTGAGAAATTTATTTGTATTATAGGAGTGTTGTTGAGTCTGATATGGGAAAACTCAATTTTAAATATTTTTATGTGTGTATATAAATTTTCTATAATAGAAGGTTTCAATGTCTTTTCGAAGGGTCTTTAGTAATTTATCCTTTCCCATATTCCCCTTTCTACACTGTCCTCCTCTTTACCACCTTGGTTTAATCCTTACTTTTTATTATTCCTCTTTAGCCCTTTATACGAGTGCCCTTATCTCCCCTCATTGGAAAGCCTCTCCCCATACTCCCATTTACTCACCATTATGGATATTCCAAATTAAATCATGTATCTGAATATTTAATACTTGCATCCATGGATAAGAAAAAAATATAATATTTTTCTTTCTGGATTTGGGTTACTTTACTAGAATGAATGCTTGCAGCTCCATCTATTTACCTGTGAATTTAATAATTTTATTTTTCTTAATATCTGAGTAATACTCCATTTTCATTTTCTATTTCTATTTTCGTTTTCTGTTTTTTCATTATCTATTTATCTGTTGATGGACATCTATACTGTTTATATTTCATGACTATTGTGACTAGAGAATCAATGAATATGGATGAACAGATAGGTATCTTTAGGGTAGGATGTGGAATTCTTTTGGCATATGATAAAGAATGGAATAGCTGGACAGTAGATACATTTTTAGCTTTTTGTTGAACCTGCACATCGATTTTCATAGTGGATACATGGGTTTGCATTGATACCAGCAGTGAATAAGGTTTCCCCTTTTCACCATCTACAGTTGCATTTGTCATCATTTTATTTATTTATTTATTTATTTATTTATTTATTTATTTATTTTTGTTTTGTTTTTTAACTTAGCCATTCTGATCGGGATAGATGAAATTTTAAAGTAGTTTCAATTTGCATTTCTTTGATGGTTAAGGATGTTGAATATTTTAAAAAGTGTTTCTCAGCTATTGTATTTCATCTTTTGAGAACTCTCTGTTTAACTCCATGTACCACTTTAAATTGGTTTGTTTATTTTCTTGTTTTTTATTTTTGAGTTCTTTATATATTCTAGTTACTAACATTTCATCAGATGTATAGCTAGTCTTTTTTTTCATTTTGTGAATTGCCACTTCACTGAGTGATGGTGCACTTTGCTGTACTGAAACTTATTATTTTCCTATGGCCCATTTATGAATTTTTGGGTCTTGATGCTGGTGCTATTAGGGTTCTGTTTAGGAACTCCTTTCCTGTGCCCATGAGTTCAGGCATATTCCCTACTTTCTCCTCTGTCAGGTTCAAGACATCAGATCTTATATTGAGATCCTTGATTTATTTAGAGTTGAGTTTTGTGCAGGGTGATAGACATAGATCTATTTTTATTCTTTTCCATGTAGCGATCCTGTTTGCCTAACATCATTTTTCAAAGATGATGAGTTTTCTTCAGTGTGTATTATTTGATTCCTTTACAAAATTCTGGTAAATATATAGGAATGTGGGTTGATATGTCTGTCTTCAATTCTGTTCCAGTCATCATTGTGCCTGTACCATGCTATGTTTAGAGCCATGCCATGGTTCTAAAGTGTGATTTGAAATTAGGTGTGGTG